AGACTGTGAGCAGGTAATGGGCAGACAGCCTGCGCGCCACCACTCCCCGTGGGGCCCGGGCTGTCGGCGTCCTCCGGCCTCAGTGTTCCCATCTGTGAAGCGGGTAGTGCCTGGAGGTAATGAGCTCCCACAGGCAGACTGCTCAGAGCGGCCCCGCTGGGGTGAGTGCAGAACACCCGGTGAGAAGCAGCTGCCCCCTCTTGCCTGCCCTGCAGCCCTCTGTGATCAGGCGCCCCACGCAGCATCACCCCTGCACTCCCCCACCTCCACGGCGGCCACCAGTCAGGCCAACCCTACCCCCCACTTCCCTCACCTCTCAGTTCAGTCACCCTCTTCCAGGCAGCCCTCCGTATGGCACCTCGACATGCTAACCTCACCAGCGCCTGTGGTGAAGGAGCTGGGACCGAGAGGGGCGGTGGGCCCAGGGTCAGGGTGGATGGACACTGGGACCGAGAGGGGCGGTGAGCCCAGGGTGAGGGTGGATGGACACTGGGACCGAGAGGGGCGGTGAGCCCAGGGTCAGGGTGGATGGATACTGGGACCGAGAGGGGCGGTGAGCCCAGGGTCAGGGCGGGTGGACACTGGGACCGAAAGGGGCGGTGAGCCTAGGGTCAGGGTGGATGGACAGCTGGGGCGGAGAGGGGCGGTGAGCCTAGGGTCAGGGTGGATGGACAGCTGGGGCGGAGAGGGGCGGTGAGCCCAGTGTGAGGGTGGGTGGACAGCTGGGACCCGGATTCAGGTTTGGCCAGCTCCAAAGCGGGTGCTCTTCCCTCTCAGCACCCTACTTCTACTATCGGGGTTCAGGGGCACACCGGCAGGGCCACCGGAGCCCTGCATTGGGACGGGCTCAGTCCCTGGCTGCCAGGAGCATATCCATGACCGCCCTGGGCACCGGCTGCAGGCAAAGCCCCAGGGCAGGGCCAGTGCTGCCCAGAAGTAATCGCACGGCCCCGTGGCCATCCCCTGTCCTCTCTACTGGAACATCGTGGGGCTTTGAGGGGCAGCGGCCATCTTGTCCCGGTGAGTTCCTCTGAAGCCGGGCGTCTTCTTACCTGTGGCACCTGAAGGAGAAGGTTCCTGTCCGGCCACCCGCAGGGGCTGCCACAAAGGCAAACGCCTGCAGTGCCCGGCCAGCGATGCTGGTGAAGGGGGGTTCGGTCCGTGCAGCTGGACCTCTGCACCCCACGGCCCTCTGGGGGAGCACTGCGCAGCCCATCCGCCCCGCTCCACAGGGGGGCGCTCCGAGCAAGCCAGAGCGGGAGGAGGTGTCAATCACAGTCCCAGAGTGTGTCCTTCAGGTCCCGCCTGCTCATTGGAAGCTCATGCGTCGCCCGCGGTTACACATGTGTGCTCCCTGAGACAGACCTCCCAGGCCTGTGCGCTCACCCCGGGAACCTAGCTAGTGCAGTGCCTGCGGAGTGAGTGAGGGCGACCCCTGGCCTCCCATGGGCACTGGGGTCCTGGGGGCAAGTCCCATGCACTCCAGCCCTGAGGGCCCAGGGCAGGGCCTGGTGCCTGCAGGAGGTCAAGTGCGGGTGAGGACCATCGGCTGGGGGCCGAGGAGGGAGCCGACAGTCAGGCTTATCAGGCGGGGAGCAGCACCTTGGGGGCCAGAGGGGCAGCTGCTCCCAAACAATTTAACTGGCCCAGGTGCCCGGGGGCACTCAGCCGGGTCGGAGGTGCTGGGGGGATGTGTCTCCTAGAACCCGCGTCCACACAGGCCCGGCCTGCGTCAGGGCTGCTTGAGGGTCTTCACTGGAGCTGCTCTTTGAATCTGCTTTGCCGTTGCCAGCCTTGCCCTGGGGTCTCCAAGTCCAGCATAGTTCCTCATCCCACGAGGGCTCCGTGTGGATAAAGACGAGGGTTCAGATCGAACCCGGCTCGGGTCCAGGTTCAGGTCAAGGTCAGGTCTAGCATCCTGGCTCAGGTTAAGGTTTAGATTCAGGCGAATAGCAGAGCCAGGCTGGCCAGCCATGGAGCTTTGGTTCATGGTCCGTCTCCTGGGATGTGGAGCTTGGAGTCAGAGTTGCACAGGACAGAGCAGCTCTGAGGTGGTCCTCTCTGACCCCCAACCTGCCGCCCCGCCGCTCTGCCCCTGGGCACTTACTGCAGCGGTGCTGTGACGCTGTGACTGCTCCCAGGTGTGTCTAGTCTGTTCTGCAGTCGCACCAGCTTCCTGTGAGCGGGCCCTAGGCTTGCACTGAGGGCTGCTCCTTTGGGTGCATAGGAGGCGGTGGCAAATGCTGACTTCATGAATAAAGGGAATACATCAGCTCCCCAAGGACAAAGGTCTCCTTCTGGTGGGAATCTCTCCATTCAGTTACACCTAATGTTTTTCAAAGTTTTAATTGATTGTGGAGGAGGCTAGGAAATTTGGGATTTTGTTGTTGTTGTAGCTTACAGATATCCATCCTTCATCCATCCATTCACTCATCCATTCACTCATCCATCCATCCACTCATCCATCCATCCATCCATCCATCCATCCATCCATCCATCCATCCACTCATCCATTCACTCATCCACTCATCCATTCACTCATCCATTCATCCACTCATCCATCCATCCATCCACTCATCCATCCATCCATCCATCCATCCATCCATCCACTCATCCATCCATCCATCTATCCATCCATTAATCCATCCACTCATCCATCCATCCATCCATCCACTCACCCATTCACTCATCCATCCATCCATCCATTCATCCATCCATCCATCCATCTCATAAATACTTTTTGACTGTGTGTGAGACTTTGCCGAATATACAGATGAAGGAGACATTGAGACTGTTTTCAAGGGGCTAAACCAATAGATGGAATTAGAACACGAGCAGCTGATGGGAGGGCCCCAAGGTCTGTGGGGTTGGGGAAAGACTCCCCGTCCAGCCTGGGGGCCTGCGAGGTTTCCTGAGGAGGAAGCCCGAGTCCTGAAAGTTGAGCAGGTGGTCCTCTGTCCACGAAGAGAAGAGCATCCCAGTGAGAAGAAACGGGCTGAGCCGAGGTTCCTGGCAGGAAAGCAGGGGCGGCCTTTGGGGCAGTCTGAGGAGTGGGCGAGGCGGGCAAGGAGGCCATGGGGTTGCTGGGAAGACAGAGGTCTTGGAGGACTTTGTTCTGAAAGCCTGGGAGCCACAAAAGGATCAACCCAATGTGAATTATGTTCTGGAATCAGCACCCTGAGACCTGTCAGGGTGGGAGGGCTTGGGTTTGGCTCTCCTGTGGAAAGAGGGTGCCCCAGGGGACACAGTAGATAGGGGCTCCACCCCAAAGCCCCACAGGATGTGTGGTTCTCAGAGTGCGGAGCGGCGGATCGGGCGGATGGGGTGGGAGGGAGGGCACAGTGTTGGGGCCAACTGTGGAGGCTGAGCAGGACTGCAGCATCTTGGGCGCCTGCCTGGTCAGTGGCTCTAGGGGTGGTGCTGGGCAAACCTGCAGCTTCAGCAGGAGCCCTGCTGGGGTGACCAGCGCACACCGGCCTCCTCTGGAGTAGCCGCAGTCCCTGCTTCTCCTTGACTGCAGCCTGTCCCCCTCCCAGCCCTGTCTGGACCTGCAGAGCAGCCACAGAGGAATGGGGATGCTGTCAGGGCCCATCAGAGCCGGTCCCCAGGGCCACGTGACACCAGGTTGGAAGCTGGATGGGGTGTGTGTGGGGGGGCACAGTGGAGGCACTGGGGCAGCTCTCTGGCTTCTCACGCTGCTGCCTGGGGAAGGGCCTCCACACCCACCCCTTTGTTCAGGCGGGTGCGGAGGGAAACCGAGGGCAGGGAGTGACAAGAGAAGCCTGAGGCTGGGTCTGGGCTTCTCCCTCGTTTGGAAGGAGGGGCACATTGTACGTGCATGACTTCAGCCAGGAAGCTGAGGCGTGTTGATCTTAGCGCCCACAGAACCTTGGCTGGCCCTGGGCTCGCTCGCAGGTGTGCGCTGGGTCCTGGGGCTGGTGGAGGAGGTGACGAGCCTGGAGAGCGTGTGGGACTCAGTGATGTGCTTCCTCTGCCATGAGGCCCACCAGTCAGCTCTGTAGATCCTCCTGAGGGACAGACAGCTGGACACCCAGGCTCTGCTCCCAGCACTGCCTCTCAGGAAGGAATGGAGGGTCAGCGAGAATCCGAGACCCTGCCAGTGACCCTGCCAGCAACGAAGGCAGGGGTGCAAACCGGGCAAGGTCCAGCCTTGGCATTGCTCTTTGAAGGAATCCTTTTCCTGTGTCACAGCAGAGGGGCGGAGAAGTCCTCACACCTGTTGTCTTGACCCGGGTGCAGCCAGGCAGAGCCTGGGACCTTAGGGGCGAGCCCAGGGCAGGGGATGCAGCAGGAAAGACAGCCCCTGAAGCCGGGGAGATTGGTGGCAGGCCCTGGCCAGCTCTGCGGAATCGCCCAAACTCAGCCTGGAGGAGGGGGAGGAGAATTTATCCTTTGCTCCTGACACCGCCCTTTCAGGTCTCGACCTGTGGCCCCCAGGCCAGGTGTGCTGGATGGGCAGGGACACGGAGCTGGTCCCGCAGAGGCAGAGGCAGCTGGAGCAGGAGGCAGGTGAGGTCCATAGGGCCTGATGTGGTGCCAAGTGGCTGGACATACAGCTGGGGACACTGAGTCAGAGAGGGGAGGTGAAAGGTTGTGCACTGGTGGCTGAACCAGGACTTGCTTGAGGTCACCTGACTCTCAGACCCCTGAGGTGGTAGCAGTGGTGAAAAGCCCTGAACGTATGTGTAGAGTCTGTGAGTGCACACACGCGTGTGAGCGTGTGTTGGAGAGGGTCTGAGTGATATGTGGATGACCAGAAAATGGAGCATGAACACAGAACTCTCTAGAAAGTTCTCAAGTGTGTGTGCCTTCGTATAAAGAAGGAAACCCCCTCACCCTCATCTCCAGCCGAGTGTCCAGGTCCCTGTCTTCGCCTTAACACCAGCCCTGTGCCCAGCTGGTGCAGCACTGGTCACTCCCAGGAGGAGAGGGGCCGGCGGGACCGCCCTGCCCTGGGCTGTGGGCCTCGGGCAGCCCAGGGCCCAGGTGGAGCCGAGGTAATGAGTCACTGGGCTTTGGCATACAAATCACACCCACCCCAAACCCCAGACCAAACCGCCTCCGGTGTCTGCCAGGCACAGTTGCCAGAGTAATCAATGCCCTTTGTTTTCCTAGACGAATGTTCCCTCTGCACTTTCCACCACTTTGTTCCCGAGAAGGGCTCAGTGAGGGCTCTCAGCACGTGGACCCACACAGCCTCATGGCATCCCTTCCCCAGACTGCCCCACCCCACAGCAGGGTCACAGGGACAAGGCAGCTACTGGCTGGATCGGGGCGGAGAGCTGACCTTGGCCCGGGCAGGCTCCAGTCCTTGAAAGCTTGCTGATCTTGGCCTTGGCTTCCTCAACTACTTGAGGGGAATCAGAGTTGGCAGGAAGGATATAAAAATTCCTGGGAAAACCACCAGCAGGAGTGAAATGCAGTGTTTCTGATTCTCAGGCCCTGGGGGAGCATCAGGCGAGGGCAAGGTGTGTGGGCATCACGGGTGCCTCGCCTGGGTTCCCCGCCTGGGTTCCCACTGGCTTCCCGGATCTGGCGTCTGCCTCAGTTTCCTCATCTGTGAGGTGAGCCAGTAAAGCTAACCTGCAGGCCTAGCTCTCAGCACAGTGGCCGGGGCAATCGTGACGTTGATGCAGTGCGGGCACTGGTGGCTCTCGGAAGCCCACCTGCAGGGCAGCTGAGCAGGTTTCTGTCCTTAAAGGGCAAGGTCAAGACCTCCTCTTCCACGAAGCCCTCTTGAGTTCTTCCCGCCCTCATTGCTAAAGGCTAAGTGCCCTGGATGCGTTATCTCATTTAATCTTTACAGAACTTTAGGAGGTAGGTGTTATTCTAAACCTAGTTTTATAAGTGGAATTTGGGGCTTAGAGACTTGCCCAGGGTCATGGAGCAAGTAAAGGAGATAGGATTTGAACCCAGGTTCGTCTGATTCCCAAAATAACCTGGAGGAGGGACAGAGCACTTAAGTTGGCTAGAGAAGTTAAGGAAGGCTTCTTGGAAGCAGTATTACTTGAATTAAAATATTTTTAACCCAACGTTTTAATGGCCATTTTCAAACAACCATAGAAGTAAACAATAATAGGAATGGAATCTATAAATAATGAAGCAGTGATGCCTGGTGGAGTCTGGGATTGCAGGCCATGTGGTGCCATGAGGCACCCACAGGTAGCAGGTCTTGCAGAGGGTAAAGTGTGGGCAAGGGCAGTGATGGAATCCCGTGGGAGCTGAGCTATTTAAGATGGAAGGTGGTTCTTGGCTGCCTTTGGATTTCCATCTCCCTGATGCAGGGCAAGAAGAAAACACCTTTTCGCGGCAGGTGAGGGACTTGGTGTTTTGGGTTTCCCAGCGGAAGGTAGAAATGGCTGTTTTCAGTTTGGCACAGTGGGCTCAAGAGCGAGGACTGGAATCTCTCAGCGCTGCCAGTTCTAGGCAAGAGACGAGAATAGGAGTCATTCCTCTAGTCTCAGTGCAGACAAAGCCAGAGGATTTCACAGGAGTGGGGCCGGCAACAGGACTGGCTCCTGGGCAAGCACGTTCCTTCCTGGCATGTATATGCAACAGAGGTGGCTAGTGCTTGGATTTAACACATGCTTTACGGCTGGTTATAGTTTCTGACAAGGGACATGTCCATGTGTCACAGCTACCCGAGGAGCAAAGAGGAAGTTCCCTGCAGTGTCCCCAACAGCAGAAGGTGTCCCTGTGCCAGGCCACGGTCAGCAGCACCAGGGGCCTGGACTAGGGACAAGTTTGCAATGCCCAGACTACTTGTCTTTCATTCATTTACCACTTATTTGTTCTCCTCATCACTTATGGGTTATGATCCTTTCTTGGCTCTCGTCATTCAGGTCAACCCAGACGAAGAGAAAGGAGGAGTGGCCAAGAGGGGAAGCTCTCTATCACACCTTCACTTCCTTGCCAGCTTGACCTTCTCAGGCCAGGCTTTCGCTATTGGTATACAGGGAACGCAGAGGACAAAGCATGGCTGAGCCCACCTCGGGTGACCCCCAAGTTCTAGGACACATGGTGAAATCACTCCTGCCTCCTGTGGGTTAGATGGAGAGGAAACTTGTCAGGTGTGTGGGCACTCCACTTTCCAGCCAGATGTCCTCAGAAGTTACTTAGTGTGGACGGCCTTCCCTCTCCTGAGCCTGTCGAGTGAGGATGAATCTGCCCTGCCTCAGTACCGGTGCCCGCCAGACCTGTGGGGAGCATGCTGACGGCCTCACAGCAACCACCCGAGGTCAGCACAGTCAGTCACTTCCATTCTTTGAAGACAAACCTGGAACCTAGACAGAAACTTGTTTCTGCTCACAGGGCTTGGTAGTGGTCTAACTGGATTTGAATCTAGTTAGTCTGATTTCAGACTGGGTTTTTAAACACTTAACGTTACTTTCAGGTCATAGGGTTATTTTGAAAAGGGGTAATCAAATTGATGTAAAACACTTGGTGTAGTGCTTCTCACCTCCTAGGTGATTTGCATATGTACACTGCGAACCTTATCCTATCTAATAAAGAGGGAATATGCTAATTGACCCTCACACAGTCACAAAGATGGTGATGCCTGCAGCCAATAAGGAGGGAATATGCTAATTGACTGCCCCGTCCTCAAAGATGGCAGTGCCCACAGCTACAAGATGGTGGCACCCAGTCACCTCAGCCCTGCCAGGGTGCCTGCCTCTGGAGTCCCCGAGTCCCCCACACCCTCAGCCTCCCAGGGCCGGCCCGAGGCACAGGCAAGCCTTGGATGGCAGCTTCCCAACTACCCAGGGCTGTCTGAGGCTTGTGCTGCCAGTAGTGGCAGCAGCAGAGATGTGCCTTCCTCTGATCACCAGGTCACCTCCCGCCCCTGAGGGCTCCTGGACTGTGAGAGGAGGCAGGCCAGTCTGAGGAACTCCCCTCCAGTCTCTAGTTGGCCTATAAAATTGTATAGATTTCAGGTGTACATTTCTACAGTACATCTGTGTAGTATAATATATACCCCGTTTCCCCAAAAATAAGACAGTGTCTTATATTAATTTTTGCTCCCAAAGATGTGCTAGGTCTTATTTTCAGGGGATGTCTTATTTTTTCCATGAAGAAGAATACGGTACACATTTATTGTTAAATGGAAATAAAGGAAATTTATTGTACTACCTGTATACGGTACGGTAGTATGGTAGTTGTCAACACAAACCAGACAAACTGTGAATCCTACAGTATCAAGAATTTACTCATTTATTCAATGACAATTATGTCATCATCTTCTAGAACATCATCATAACAATCCAATTCCTGAATTTCCTGGTGAATTTCTTAAGACTCCATTTCTTTCAGAATCAGTGGACCAAATCTCTCATGTTTAGCAATAGCATTCTGAGACAGAGCCTAGGGGGGCCTTATTTTCAGGGGATGCCTTATATTTCACTCAGAAGGAAACCTGTAAGTAGATCTTATTTTCGGAGGATGTCTTATTTTCGGGGAAACATGGTAGTGTGTTCACCACCCCAAGTCAAGTACCCCTCCTCTACTTTTATCTGGCCTCCCTTTTCCTTTGCTTCTGCTGCTCCTATCCTGTTTAGTTTGTATCCACTCTTATCTATTTTTTCTCCATGTAGATCTTTGTTTTAGAAAAGGCCTGTGATTTGTTAAATTTTATGGGTGTACAAGCCCATGCTGCCCCAGCACCATCAGTGCTACTGAATCATGGTCCCATTGCATCTGCCTTCACATATGGTCTTCCAAAGCCTTTGCAGTGTGATTGCTCTTCTTAGATTGGCCCACAGTGCTCCCAGCTAGTTTCTTCTGGGGACCTTGGGTTAGCCTGCCCTAGTGCGCATCGGAAGCCCAGCTGGCTCCCTGTGCGTTCCTCTGCACAGATGGGGGCACACTGCAGTCCTTGGACCTGTCAGTGAGTTGTTCACTGGGGAGATTCTTGGGGAGACCTTACCATGTAGTTTTATTGTAGATGTTGTCTATGGGTCTTTAATTTTGTCTTAGTTGCTCTATTTATATCGAATGATTTGGGAAGAATAAAAACATCACTACCGTCTTCTAGAAGTTACAGTGTGCATTTACTTCTTTTTGCATAATTCAGCTAGAGATGTTTTCTATTGCTCACAAGTAAGAATGTCGCCCATTTCCAAGGTTAACGTGGGTGGACGTAGACGTTTTCATTAACTGGAAGGACAAAAGGAGGACATGGCTCCCACATAAAGTGGTTAGAAGAGTGTGATTTCAGCGCACATCACAGAGAGCAGAGCATCTGACCACTGGAGGTCACCATCCTGCCCTCTCTGCTCGGTCAGCCCTTGGGCTCAGCATTGCATCTGCTCTGGGCACCAGGGTTTGAACAGATGCTCACTTGTGAAGTGTGTGTAGGAGGGAGAGGCATGTCGAAACCATGCTACCCAAGTAATAATTGAGGAACTGACAAGAACATAACTGGGAGAAGAGAAGGTTTAGGAGCAATATGACCATCGTCTTCAGATACTTGGTAGTGAGATAAAAGGAGCAGACATGTCTGTGTGATCCCAAAAGATATAGCTTTTCTCAGGAGCAAACATGATAGGGAGGTGGACGTTCAGCTCTGCTCAGAGGAGAACATTTTCTTTCGGAGGCTGTGCACAGCTTGGTGGGTACACAGAAAGGCTGGTGCGACCGCTATGGTGTTACAGGAACCGCTTCTAGAGTCTCTTGGCAACTCTCAGATGAGCTTTGGGCTTTTTCCAGCTCTAATTGCCTGTAAAACTACTTGTTAAGCTGGAAACGTATGCCTTTACATTGCAGTAGGGATTACTGGAGCTTAAGGTTGTTCTGGGATTATGGTAAACGAAGCGACAGACCTTATTCTCAAGTAAGTAATAATTTTGTTGATAAGGTTTGACTGGTGAATCCATGGAATAATAAACAAATAAAGGAGTTAACAGCTATAATTTCCCGAGTGCTGCTGTATGCCAGACACTGTCTACAAACATTCCCACATAATCCTCACAGCAGCCGGTGAGACGAGCGCTGCG